GGCAGAGAGCGGGTTTGCCGAGGGTGCACCAGCATCTTTCCCCCCCTCCCTTATGCACCAGAGGTCATGGGCTCCCAGCTCTCTCCCACCTCTCCTGCTGGAGAGCATTGCCTTCCCGATGGAGCAGCATTGCCAGTAAGTCATTCCCTTGACCTGTGCATTCCAGACACGTTCGAGATAGTGGAGCTGATAGCGGGATCGTGTTGGAACATCGCACACCGAATTCCTTTGCCTTTTTTCTTAATTCCATTGTGTCTGGAGCTCCTGGAGCCTCATCTACACCCTGCAAAAACTGGTGGAAAGCCTCCAGTGGGCTGGCTTCGATGGGCTGTGGGCAGGCTGGTGCTGAAGTTGCTTCCTTACTTCCAGCATGCCAAAATATCCACACTCATCTGCCCAGCTGCTCGGATAGAACCAGAGATGTTTGTTTCTCAGAGGCAGTGTCCTAAGCTGTGCATGGCCCCTGATCATCTCCAGGCCATGGCTGTTGGACAGGAACTTCTGTGGGATATGAGGAAGTGCCAGAGAGGATTTGAAGAGTGGGCTTGTAGTCTATAGATGCTCCTCAAGAGTTTTCCCTTGTCTTTACAACCATCTCTACCCCAAAGAGCTTCAGGCAGCAACCAGCAAAGGAGAACCTGCCTCCTGCCACATCAATTATTCCCATCCTCCTTGTTCAGTTTAGGATCAGGCAAAGCATTTCAGCTCTCCAGTGGCCACGCTCCAGCTGCAAGATCTAATGAGTAACTGGAACCGGTTCCACGTGGCCATATCCCACTGGCTGAGCACTGGGATCCAGTTTGCTGTAGGTGACTGCTGGCCAGCCATCCACGGGAGCAAGAGCAGCTCCCCTCAGCTGTGAACATCTCCAGCCTTTCCCTCACCTGCTGTTTGCTCCCTGAAGCAGAAGCAAGTCCCTGGCTGTGGTTTGGACCTCCCTGTGCCTGTGTTAGAGACCCCCTTGCCTGCACAGCCTGGGGGTTTGTCCACCTCCCCCTGGCTCCAGGGGCTCCGTGCAGGCCTGGATGGCTGCCCCACACCGTGAGCTCGAGCCCCCACATCCCTTCGCAGCCCAACCACGGGAGGCCAAAGACCCCATTAACACTTCTGCGGGTCTGCCACACGTGACAGCGTCCGGCGGGGAGGGAGCCCTGCTCTGCCACCAACCCGACTTGAGAAAAATCCTAATTATCCATCAGTTACCAGCTGACCGGTGCGGCGAGGGGCTGCGGCGAGGAAAGCGCCGCGATCGGCTGCGGCTGCAGCGTGTCCGGGCAGCTCCGGGCTCCCGGAGCCCGACGGCTCCCGGCAGGCAGGCAGGATGCCGGCGTGCCCCGTCTTGCCGCGCCGCAGCTCCCGGTCCTCCTCCCAGCCCCGCCGGAGCAGCCTACCAGAGGGGGGCTTCCAACCTACGGGGAAAACCTTATTTTCAGCATCTGGCCGTTGCTGTCTGCGATAAGAAGGCCATTAAAAATGAAAAGGGAGGTGGCAGCAGCCTGGAGGGCTTCCCACAGCACGGAACAGAGCCGCTGCTTCGGCCCGGAGCTGGTGGGTGATGTGTGCTGCTCAGAGCCCAGCCCGGGGGTCGGGACATCCAGGGTCACCCACCACTGCCCAGTGTCCCTCTGCAAGGACAGAGCTCAGCAACGTGAGCCCCAAACCCTGTCCCAAGGCTTTGCCCCTTCTCCATTCACCCCTTTCTAAAATTAGAAAATCAGCATTTAGAGGCAAGAGAGAGCAGCTGATGATGCTCTGGGCCCATTCTCCACACTGCTGCCCCCAGACCCCTTCCTTCCTCCTCCTCCTGCATTGAGCCAAGGGTGTCTGCTAAAGCACAGCTTATCTCAGGAGATATGCAGACTCCTCATTTGAATCCTTCAGGAGCTGGAGAATCCACCACATTCCTTGGTAAATTGTTCCTATGTTTAATTATCCTCACTGCTAAAAAAATTCCACCTTGTTTGTAGTCTGAATTTGCCTGGCTTCAGCTTCCAAGTGCAGGATCTTATTATATTTTTTTCTGTTAGATTAAGGATCTCATTATATCTTTTTCTGTTTGATTAAGGAGCTGGCTGCTATGAGGAACCATCTCCTGGGCACACCACGATCGAGCCACCCTTGCTCTTCTCGGGGAGACCTTTCTTGCAGAACACTTCCCTGGTATTGCCCCACAAGGCATCTGCACCAAATTTTTTATCTTCTTTGCAATCTCCCTCCCAAACAATTTCTGTTTTGTCAACAGAGGGTTTGAAGTGTGGACAGGAGCATCACGTGTGCAGACAGTGGGCTCGGGGACACCTCGCTTCCCTGCCCAGGTGACAGTGATGTGACCAGCCCTGCAGAGCGAACCACCCCAGAGCAGCCAGCTCATCTCCAAACACTCTGCTCTGGACCCTCAAGATCCTTTGGAGCCTCCCCTCATGCACAGGAGGATGGACAACACCACATCTTCCAGAGGGATTGAACCAGAAGGCCACTGAGCTACACATTTCCATCAACAAAGCTCATGATTGTATCAAAAATGACCCCAAATCATTTGACAAGATGACTTGCATGAACTACTTGCTTTGGCATTGCCTGTACACCAGATGTCCATTCCTTCATGGCTGGATCCTCCATGATCTGAGCCCAGATTGCAAGAGACCTTCAGCAGACCCTTCCTGCAGCACAGAGGACTCCCTGCTGCTCTGAAACGCTGCCCAGCACGTTGGCTCCACCAGGCTTGTGGTCAAAGCTTGGTGTAAACTGATCAACCACCCTGGCATAAATCATTTGGCACAGTGAACCCCAGGGTACCCAAAAGCCACAAGGCTTCCCCAGACAGGGCTGAACCAGGCTGGGCTGTTCCCTCTGACGTGCTGGCCCAGCCCACGTGTGTCCTGCAGTGCTGCTGCCCTTTGTGTGACTGTGCTGTCAGACATCCCTGCCTGTCCCCAGCCCTCCTGACTGCTACACGTGTGTGCTCAGCTCCTGTGCAGGGTCACAAATCTGTGTTGATTCACTGGTAACAGAGGACATATTTATTTTGCTGAGCTCCTTTCTCCATTTTACTGGGACAGCCTCGGGTGTGGCAGTGGCACTGCAGAGCTCACGGCAAGTGGGAGGAAGGCAGTGGCCTCATCTTCCAGCAATAAATGTGTCTGTGACAGCTCCAGCGGGGAGGACATGCAGTGACACCAGCTGTCACCGCAGCAGGACCGTTCCTCACGTGGCACCTCGGCGAGACAGACCCGCTGCATCCACACCAGCAGTGCTGCAGGAATCCCTGTTTCAAATGAAACATCCCCTGTGCTCTCAGGGTGCCAACCCACTGCTGGTCTCTGCAAGGCTCAGCTCCAGCACAGTGAACTGTGGGCTGCTGGGTTCTGACCTTGCAGCCATCCTGCTCTGGGGGGATGCAGCCACCCCAGTGTTGTGAGTCAGAGGGCCACACACCTCTGACTGCCTGCCCTGACCGTCCATAAAGGCTTGGGAAGAACAGCCATCCTGTAACTGATGGGAGTTATCCCCCAGTAGGGATAGGATCGGTCTGGAGTCACATCATCCTGCCCCGAGGAGCTCAAGTTTATTCAGTTCCTAATTAAATGCATCCCTGAGCAACATCCCACAAGGAAAGAGAGTGGAAAGAGTGGAGACTTAACCACCCCTACGAGGGCAGGTCGTGTTTAACCACGGTGCTGTCCCAAGCCGCTGATCTGTGTGACTCAGCTGTGCAGCTCCAGCCACCGGCTGCAGGGAAGCTGCTGGATTGCTCCAGCCAGGAATTCGGCGGCGTTCAATTCGGTTGGTGAGGGTGCAGGAGACCATCGCCTCCTGCACCCTCACCAGGACACACCGGGAGCATCCCACCGTGCAGCAGCACCCCCCGGCTGCTGCCCGGGTCTCCCTGCACGACAGCATCCAAGGATGCTTTCTATCTCCCGTGGGAAGGACTGTCTTGGCAATTAAACACGTCACCTCCCAAAAACAAAGGTCATCATCACTCCTGGGGCTGACACATCGCTCCTGGGCTGCTCTGCCCGTTCCATGGCAATGTCAAACCGCAGCCCTGGAGGAAACCCTCTCTTTTCCCATGGGATGTCAGTCACCCCAGTCCAGCCTTTCTGCTCAACCAGTGTTTCCCGGAGGAGAAAACCCTCCCGGCTCCAGTGCGCTGGTGCGCGGCTCTCCCGGGCGCTCCGGAGACACTCACCCGCTGCAGGAGCGCCTCCGGCACTGCCCGCAAGCGCCGCTTTCCCGAACAGCAGGGACAGCGCTGCGCTGAGCCAGGGACGCGAAATCAGGACCTTTCTCCACAAAAAGCACAGCAGCCCCTGCACGCTTTCCCCTGTCACCGGGTCCCTGCCCCGCGGAGCTCTCCTGTGCCCGGCGGCGGGAGCGCGCTCGGAGCGGCCGTGGACCAAACCCACATCCCGGCTCCCGAGGAGACGAGCAGACGGCACGATGCGACCTTGACTAAAAACCCACTGTGGTTAAAATCCTACTCTGCCGTTTGCCGTGACTTCTAGAGAGTAAGTTACTCCTCTGATACGAGGTGGAAAAGGATTGTAAATGACAAGCGGGAATTTACGGCAAAGCTGGGAACGGCACTGGGAGATGCGAGCAAAGGTCCCTCTCACCCACAGCCTCACCTCTGACAGCACTGGCTGGCAAAGGTGTTGGGAAGCACCGGGAGAACAAGGCAGGTACTTCCCCAGGACATTTCTTTTGGGGACATTTACCTGCAGTTCAGGGAATTGCAGTGAGAAAAATGACATTGTAGCCGCTGTGTTTCACAGCTCTTTGGGAGAAACCCCCTGAAAAGCAAGCACGGATGTTTCCTGCATGTTTTGCTTCCCAGGACCACCTGTGCAGGTGAAGTCCCCATGGCTGGTGGCCGTGTCCCACAGCTGCCCTGCCAAGCGTCCCCACCACCGAGGTGTTGGTTGGTTGGTGGCGGTGAGGACGCTGTGGGTGGTGGTGAGCATCTCCCTAGGGATGGTAGAAGACATGCAACTTACTGTCCAGGTGGCTGACTTGGCGGTGCTGGATTGCTGGAAGGTCACCTCGAAGTGGTGTGGGCCGGGGTAGTCGGTGTTGGAGGGGATGACGGGAGCCGGGGACATGGCGTCGAAGGTAGAGCTGGGCTGCGAGTAGGGAGAATGCGTTGGGACATTGGAGGTGTGCTCGGAGCTGTAGGGGCTGGTGGAGGCTGCTCTGCTGCCGATGCTCTGATCCATGCTGTTGTTCAGCAAATTGAACTGGGACTGGAGGAAGGGAAAAGGGGAGGAGGGAAAAAAGAAAACACCAGCCAGTTTAGAGACAGGGAAACCTCAGCCACCCTTCTCCAGGGCTGGGGTGTCCTGTTACAGCCTCCTTAAAGGGCCAGCATGCAGGAGGGGAGCCAAAAGAGCTGGTCTGGGTGGCTTGGGTTTTCCAACAGGTCACCACTCGTGTGAGGGATCAACTCCAGTACTTAAATCATCCCCCTCGATCTGCGCCATCATCACTGGAGGCAGTGGGGTGCCACAATCCCAGGTCTCCAGCACACCTGCTGAGGGAAAGCCACTGTTCTGACAGCGGGGAGAGGGCAGGGATGTTCTGGGGCTCACTCAGGTGTGGGAGATGTCCCACTGTGGGCAGGGAGTGACAGCCCTGTCCTGCACACAGGGCTCTGCTCCACAGTGGCCCTTCCAGCAGCCAGAGTGTCACAGCTCAGTGAAGCTGCCCTGGCAAGGTGACCAGCAGTCCCTGGCAATGGCATTGCTCTGTCGTGACAGCAGTCCTGGGTGTCTGACCCGTTTTTCTGACCTGCCCCTCTTGCATTCACTGGTCAAGGACAGACACCCACACACCACTCCTGGGAGTGCTTCTCTGAGCCAGCCAGCCTTGAGCAGTGGTTTGTAGCTTGTTTCCCAGTGGGATGTTTGCTCTCAGTGTCTGATGCAGCTCTAATTTGGGGAAAACCTCAAACCTCCAAAGCGTGTGGCTGCGATGCAGCCGCTGCAGGAAGGGCACAGGGCAAACAGACCCATTTAGGCACGTCCTGGCTCCTATTCCAGACCCGCTGGACCAAATCCTGACTTTTTACAATTTTTTCCTTATTTGTCTTCTGACCAGCTACTGTCAGATACTTCCAGTAAGAGCTGGCAGCTCCTTTACCCTCAGGCACAGCCTAAGTACAGTGACATTCCCCAGAACCGCGTGGCTAAAGTGGCCTTAATATTTCACCAGAAAATCAGACCCAAATACAACTGTTTCTCAAAGCAATTAGGGTGAGTTTTTTGCCCAGAAACCTGGAATTCCCAAGTTGCTCAGGGCTTGCTCTCACCCTGGCAGCCCCAGAGGCTGGTGCTGTGGTGGCCCTGGGGCTGTACCGGTGACCACACGCAGTGGCCAGTGCGTCGCTGTGTGCTGTCCTGGCTCCCGCACCAGAGCACGGACAAGGTCCCCCTCGACTGCCCCCATGCCCCAGCAGGACTGTCCCTGTTCCCAGCACCCGCTGGGGCAGCTCTGGGAAGCCAGGAGCTCTGGAAGCAGCCGTGGGCACAGCCAGCAGGCTCAGCCTTCCCCAAAGGGCTGCAAGGCTCACGGCTCAGGAATCAAGAGACGTGTTTTAACTTGGGATCCCAACCTCACCCAACCGTCTACAATGTGGAATGGTTTAAAGGCAATCATCCTTCTCCAGGGAAGTTCTCCTGTTGCCTGCATCTCTCACAAGGTCGTTGGAGCCTGTGACTAACTGGAGGAATGCTGAACAAGATCCGGCTTGCTTTTACACATCCAGCCATTTTCTCCCTAAAATATGTGCCTAAACCCCTCTATTCCTACTCACAGCTCTATAAATAGCCCAGCCAAAGACAAGCCAAGCTTTCCATAATCCCGGGCTTCACCTGGAGAAAAAATTTGGAAAAAACAGGCATGTGGAAAGCCCTTGCCTTCCAGCTGGGAATTGCTGGGCAGCAGCCGTGGGGACTGTGGGCAGGGTAGCACTGGCATGGTGGCACAGGCAAAGCTCAGGCATCAACCAGGAGAGCAGCAGCAAGGGAGAAGGGATTGCTGCTGGAGAGGGCTGATCTACAGCCCAGATAATCCAGGGGTATCAGGACTGAGCTGTTTTTCTCTTGTGCTTAGAGCCAGGACTGTGAGTGGCTGAAGCCTGCAGCCATAAAGGGGCAGGGGAGTGGGGACCCTCCACTGAGCAGAGCATCCTGACCTCTGCATGGGAGAGAACTTCCCCTGGGAAAAATGGTGAGATATGAGACCCAGGGTACCACCTCTGCCAGCCAGGTGACACAGCTTCCCGAGCACCAGGGCTTTGGGAATCCACTGGCAGAGAGACCCAGTCAGGTGCAGGGGGAAAATGACCAACTTGTTGTTCAAAATTGACAAAATTATGGAAACATTCCCTTAAAAGACAAATCAAAGGCAAGTGTGTTTATGTGTATGTGTGTAAATATGTTCACACACACACATGTTTGTACACACACACACACACACACACAACTGCAGCAACGACCTCCCAAGGAACAACCCCAACAATCCCGGGACACGCGGCTTGGTAGCAACACACACAAGGTAAAAAAGAGGAATGAAGTAATTTCCTTCTATCTCCGACTGCCTCTGTGCCTGTGCCGGACTGTTGTGAATGTCAGAGACAGACACAGACCCCGAAGGAAACAACCTCGGCACCCAAGGACCGGGCTGAAAGCACATCGCCTGCAGCACAGGTACCACTTCACCTGCTCTGCCCTCCCAGGGCTTTCCAGCAGGGAAGGGAAGCCTGCCTGGGGCCGTGGCATGTGCCGTGGGCTCGGCTGAGGAGATCCCCAGTGGACAACAAACCGGTACTGGGGGTGTCCAGCCCTGCAGGCATTCCTGGGGTGGATGCTCCAGCCAACACCCTCCCTGACTGTGCACACGGATGAGGAACCTGCACTCCTTTCACCCAAGGTTTAAATCACACCCTGGGCTCTGCCAGCACCGGATCAGGCAAAGCCAGAGGACCAGTGACCGAGCTGCCGAGGCTGCAGCATCCTGCACTGACACGGATGGGGGCTCAGGAGCCGGGCTGGAGCAGCCCCAGCTCATCCTTGCAGCCCTGGGCTGGGGACAGGCTCACACTGGGACAACCCCTGGAGCATCCTGGGCCACAGCACAAAGGCTGGGCTGGCAGAGCTGGAGAGGGTGCCCCAGCAGTGGGGGACAATCCCAGTAAAAGCAGCAAGGCAAACCCCATCCCTGAGGAGCGGCACCTACCGTGGTGTAATGCTGCATCGGGTCGCTGACGTACAGCATTTTAGTTGTCTTGGGGTTCACGGAGCGCGGGGAACCGTCCTGCCCCGGGAGTCATGGGGTCGGGGTGGCGATGGAGGAGGCCGGGGTGGGATGGTGGGCGGAAGGGGCAGTGTGGGAGCAGGGCCGGGGCGGGCAGCGCCAGGGATGCTGCGCTGGCCACCCGTGTGCCGCCGTCTGTTGGCTCTTTGGCTTTTTTCATCTCCCTTAGTTCTGTCAACTCGCTGCATCCAACAACAAAACGGGGCCCACCCCTTCTGTCCCTCATGACTATTCATTAAAACACAGGGCAGGCCCCAGCTTGCCCAGTGATGGACTGGGCGATACCAACCATTCCCACTGCAGGGAGAGTGGGGGTCCAGCTCCACCATCAAACCCACCCTGATCCCACTCCTGAAAGCTTCTTCCAGCCACATGGGGCTGGAAACCTGCCTGGCTGGCACCTGTCACCAGCACACCGATGTGGCTGTGCTTGCAATGGCCAGATGATGCAGTGACTCTGTGAGAGCTCCGTGTCTCAGTGATATGGAGTTATCCCTGCCTAGATGGACAGATATGGATAGGTGTGGATGGATGGATGGACGGATGGATGGATGGATGGATATCTAGAGGGACAGACAGGGATGGATAGGGATAGATAGGGATAGATGGCACTGGAGTGACCTGCTCCAAGTCACCGAGCATTGGCACTGGTGCTGAGCCCCACGAGCAGCAGGAATCAGCACGGACTGAGCAGTCCCTGCACCGCTGTTCCCCCTCTTGCCTCTGTCTCAGTCCAGTGGTGTCCTGTTACCTGTGCATTTACTGTCACGCACCCCGGGCTGCACCAACCCTGCCGGGCTCAGCTTCGGTCCCAGCAGGAGCGAGGGGAAAGGCGAGGGCTCACCCGCCCAGCGAAGGGCAGAGCCCCAATTATCAGCCCTCTGCCCGGCTCCTGCCCGCTGCGGCAGAGGCTGGGGAAGGAGGGAAAGCGAGCGGAAAGCGAGGGAAAAGGGGCTGGGGGAGGGGAGGCAGCTGTCGAGGAGGGAACGGCGGCTTTTTGCGGGGAAACGGCGGCTTTCTGCAGGGGGATGCTGCCAACAGCCGGAGCGGCTGCAGGGATGCTCCCGGGAGGCCAACCCGCTCGGGGCACCGAACAGGCACGAGTACCCTGCATGTCTCGCACACCCACGATGCTTTTCCAAGACTCTGTCTTTGACAGAGGGAAAGGCTTGTAGGATGGGCTTTAACTACACACCATTTGTACCAGAGAGAATGACTCCCTGTTCCTGTCGTGGGACTCGAGCTCTGCTGCCCTTACAGCACTGAGCCCCTGCTGCTGTGTGCAGAGATATTGTCCAGCATTGAGTAGCCATGGTTTTACTGAGCCCTGTGCCACAGGTGATCAGACCCTGCACCAGTGCCAGCAGTGCCACACCTGGAGTGGTTGTTCTCCCCACTGCCTCCCCCAGAGCCCCCAGCCCACCCCTGAGGGGAAATCGTGTCTGTGTCTGGTGCAGGTGCCATCTGTGCCACCTGAGCACACTCACCATCACCGAGTCGTTCATGCCTCTCATCTGGAAGACGTCCATGGTGACCTCTGTCTGGTTGGAGACCTCATTGCTGCCGGCGTGGGTGGCTGGAGGGAGGTCGAAGTAGGTGCTGTCTGGCTCCCTGAGGAGAAGGTGAGGGCACAGTCATCTTCCCAGCTCTCTAACACCCCTGCCACCACCACCACCCGGCAACTCACAATCCTCTTGAACCTTGTCACCTTCCCAGTTCCTCCCTCCATCCTCTGCTTTGATTCCCAGGTGGTAGAGCAGGCTTTGCTCAGGTAAACTGTTGTCTGGCAGAGACTTGGGAAGCTGTGCATCCACCCAGCTCCTGTGGCATATCTGTCACCTTGGGATGTCTTTACATGAGAGGATACCAAGGGAGAAAGGATGGAATGAAGGACAGTCCTTCTCCTTTGCTTTATTAGAGCATGAGGCTCAAAGGCCAGAAAATTTGCAAATATCTTGGTGGGGCTGGAAGATGTTTAATTTTGGAATGAAGGATCCTAGGTTAAGTGGACCTCTGCTCTGGCCCTGACACCATCTCCATGCAGCCCTGGAGCAGTGCAGCAAAAAAAGGAGCCCTCCATGAGACAGTGCCACGTGTGTTTGTGTGCTGGTTTCAAACGACACTTCGGCAAATGAAATGGGCTGAGCAGAGAGGCTGGAATCTGGGAGCAAAATTCTTGGTGTGGCAAAGGCCTCTGTGGAGAGCAGAGGATGCAAAAGGAACTTATTTGCTCCTGCTTCCAAACACCCCTCACAGGAAATGACCCCCCACTTACAGAGTGCTCCAGAGGTGGGCGAAGGTGCTGCCTTCGTCAGCCGGAGGTGACTGGGACATCTTGGCAGTGGGGGAGTCTGACAGAGGATAAACCACCCTGGGGGCAAAGAGAAGCAGCAGGTTAGCACTGTCAGTGTGCTGTGCCAGGCTGAGCCATCTCATGCCAACAAAGCACCCGGCCAAGGGCAGGAGTCCCCCAAGCCCAGCTCACTGCAGCAGGGACCGGAGCTGCCCAGGGCCCATGGGGGGACAGAGCCCCCCAGCCCCAGCAGCTGCAGGCCTGGGGGTGTGCAGGGCGTGACCTGAGCTCGGCCAGAAGGTGCATCCGGGGAGCTGCGGGACAGCCCGTTCCTCAGCCAAAGCCTTCCGAGGGCTGTGCACAGTCATACCCGGAGTCCTCCTCAGCCCGCTGCCCTCCCCTCGCCCCCGGGCAGCGTTTCCTGGCCTCTCTCAGGTGCCGGAGGAAGCACAGGACACAGCTCGGCTCTCCCTGTGCTCCCGGAGCCTCTCTGGCCCAGCAGCCGGAGCGGGGAGTCTCCCAGAGCCATCTCGAGCCCCACGCTGCCTCCCTGGGTGGGCAGTCCTGCCACGGCACCGTCCTCCTCCTCCCTTACCCACTCCCTGGAAGCAGCAGGAGCACTTCCCTGCCCTGGCTGACGTGGATGTACCTCAGGCACATCTGGCTGCTCCTTTTACCAGCACTGGTTTTAGCGTCTCGTTTCAACTTCGACATCTCATAGTGAAAACCTGAAACTTCCTGCTTTTGGGGTGTGAGCTGCTGAGTCGAGGGCAGCCCCTCTCAGATTGAGGGATGCTCAGGATCTCCCAGGCCCCTCTGACTCAGCTGGGGACTGGGTGCCTGCAGGGAAGGGAGTTAAAACGAAAGCAGGCTAGCTTTCCCCGTCAGCAGATCCTGTGAGCTGCTTTCTACGAGACACAGCATCCACAGCTGCCGTTCCCTGAGGGTTTCCCACAGCACAGGAGGGCCCTTGTGCCATGGGCCCCATGCCAGGATAGCTCACAGGGAGAGTCTGGTGTCCTCCCGTCCCTCCTCGCCCCACGTGTGACACACAGAGAAATGAAAGTACCTACATGACAGCTCTGAGAGAAGGAAAAGCCTAGAACAGATGCAGGCGACTGCTGGTGGCCTTACCCTGCGTCCATGCTGCTTTCCCTGGCCCGGGCAGCTTCAGGAAGAAGCCAGGCCTTTCCCTCCAGCAGAGAAAGCACCTCTGCACCGCCCCGGCTGTGTGGTCATCACGGGTGACACCAGCTCTAACCACGTGGCTGCTCTCGTTCTCAAAAGGAAAGAAATCTGACTGTTTTAAGGGCGTTTTGGAAGTTCCCTTTCTCTTTCAAAGCACAACCTGCGCATGCAAAGCCAGACCAGCTTCTCACATCTGAGCTCTAAACTCCGGAGTAGTGTTGTTAAGGCACATCCCTCTGCTGGGATCCCGGCTCATCCTGGAAAAGTACCTCTGCAGCAAGACTGACAGCCTGGCACAGGGCATCTGGGATGGTAAAGAATCACAAAAGACTTATAAATAGGGTTCCCCAAAATTGGCACGGTGCTGATGTAATTCCATCTGAAAGGAGGTGCCATTTAGAGCCCCATTGCACAATGAATGGTGGAGACATTCCCGTTCAGGGAAGGTGGGAAACCACGGTGATGGTGAGACCCAGCAGAAGGAAAAGACACCCTGTGGGAAGAAGTGGGAGCCCTGTGGCACAGCTAAATTAAAGATGAACTGGGAAGAGCCTTAGAGCCTCATGTTCAGCTCCCTGCCCCTTTCAGCCCCCCAGTTTGGAGGCTATTCCCGCTCTGCGCTAACTGTGTCCGCTCCCTGCTGTCACCAGCTTCCCACACCAAAGGAAAGACCTGGAATATCACTTCTGCCAGTAAGAGTTCTGCAGTCAGACCCCACCGAGAGGATTTATCACCTCCAGAGACCTCAAACTGCTTATTAAAGTGAAGATCTACTTGTCCAGGGAAGGGCAGCAAGGAATTCTCCATCCCTTCTGCCCTGAGGCTGCAGGGAGGTGGTAGGAGATGCTTGGCATGACTGGCACAGCTCAGGAAGGACCTGCACTGGATTTATTGCAGGTTTCTAGAGGAAGAGGGACCAAAACATGCAAAGCCAGGGGCTGGTGATGGGATACAAGGCTGCAGGTGGGATTTGCCGGTGCTCACGGGGAGAGCTGCTCTCCCTGCACCTCCCCGAGCCGGCTCCAGCGATTGCTGGGTTGCTGCTTCCCTCTGTTGCTAGTCAGGGCATTGCAGGAAAACTGCACACGAGAAAAGAGGCCAGGAGCAGGGAGAGAAATCCTGAGAACAGGTGATCACCACCTCCCCTCGCCCTGGGACTCAGCCCATGGCAGGGCTGCCACCCCCGGGATGCTGGACCCGGCTGGGTCGCAGTGGAACCAGTTCCTCCTGTGCATGCCCCTTCCCTGTGAACTGCCACTGAAGTAATTTCCAAAGATTAGTATGGAAAAGCCCAGTGTACTCAATTTTCCACACTGCTGTGGCTTTGGCTATATCTGAAATGCCAAGTTAGCCGCAGGCCAGCTGAAGCAGCTCTTTTCCCCCAAGCCCCAGAGAGAGAAGGAAAAACACACACCAAGGTCCCGAGAGCCACCCCAAAGTGGGAGAACCCTGGAGAAGCAGAGCTGATGAACCTCCGTATATCCAACCACAGTTCACTCACGGTTCGTGTTCTGACCGCAGACCCCAATATATTCTTAGAATGATTATAAACCCAACTTCCTTCTTTCAGCACTGTGAGGAAAGTGAAGGGGTCTCACAGCACTGCCCGGCTGCTGAGTTTCTGCACTCTCTAGAGGGAGCATCTTTGATCTCACCATCAACTTTAAAGCTCGGGGTGAGCCCCTAGAAATGCCCAGTGCTATTGATAACAAATTCACTGCTGTGCTGCCACTCCAGCCCAGGATGAAACGTGATGGCATTTTGCAGCCACCTTAAAGGGAGATAAATGCCCAAACTCTGTATAACAGGGCTATAAGTAATTCCTAAGGACTCTTTGCCCATCCTGAGAGGAGGACTTCTGAGAGCCATTGCTACCTCTTATACTCCAAGCTTGATGGCTTGGGAACCGGTCCTGGACCTTCTCTCCTCTGCACAACGAGACCCATTGGGCTTATCCAGCCCACAGCAAACAACTCAATATTTGCAAAATGCTGCCAGTCCCAGGGTGCCAGTGCTGCCCCATGCTATGGTTAGTTTGTCCAGGATTATTAAATCCACACCTGCAAAATGAGGTTTGTAAAAGCAATGAAGAGCGACTGAGTGAACTTTCCCACAGCACACTTGAATCTCAGGAGCCCTCCTTGGGGTGCAGCAGGTTATTAACTATTTACTTTCCAAGGAGAAGGCAGGCTGGACAGAAATCCTCTGTGGATGGAGTCACTGACAGGCAGCTCGTGGCGGGGCAGGAGGCTGAGGCAGCCGCTCTCTCTCCCTCCCTGGCAGCCTCATGGCTGTGCAGGGACCTGGCTGTGGCAGCCAGCCCCTGCATCCCACCGGGACCCAGCCCCTCCACTGCTTCTCCCACTCAAGGCTGGGCCGTTTTTACTCCAGTCTCAGGCACTTGGGAGCAAACTTTCCAAGACACTTCAACACCGTGTAACAAGCCCACGAAGCCAAGTGGCCGCGAATCACCTTCCAGGCACGTTATCGAGTGCTCCGGAGAGGGTCGTGCCGAGAAACTCGCACACGCGAATAGCAAGGGGTTTCCTTTTGTAGGTTTTTTCCTCCTACCTGCGTTTCGAGTTCCCCCGGAGGTGTCCTGCAGACAGGAGTGGCCTGGGACAGAGGATCTATGTTATTTACTGCACTACGATCTAGTAGCGTCCCGGTCGCCTAGGCAATGACATTGGAGCTGCTGAAAGCTGTGTGAAAAGTGAGGCGAAAGCTCGTGCGCTCCTTCCTGGAACAGGAGGCAGTTGCAAGGGGGTGGGGAATGCTCAGCCGAGCGTGCCGGGGAATTAAGCTGGTCACCAGTGCCAGAGCGACTCCAGGGCAGGGAGCACCTCGCCCGAGGCGGCTGCGGGGGTTTAATCGGAGCGCTTGGGTTGGAAGGGACCTTAAAGCTCGTTTTGTTCCACGGGCAGGGACACCGCAGGTGGTGGCGGCAGGGCGGCTGTCGCGTCTGTCCCTCTGCCACGGGCCAGAAAACTGGTGCGTTTACCCACCCCAAATACACCGGAGTGCCTGTAACTGGTTTTTGGAACCCAAATAATCCGCAATGAAAACAAGACGCGAGCGTTTCTCTGATCGGGAGGTTTATTTTTAGATGATGGTGGCTGTGGTCCCTGAGCAGGGGGGTGGGTCGCACCCGGACCGTGCTGTCACTGGGACGGGAGCCGGGCTGCTGCCACCCGAAGATGCTGGGGTTCGGAGCGGAGGGGCGAGGGCAGCCGTGTGTTCCGCCGGGAAGGGACGCGTGGGATCCGGAGCGTGTTGGGGACACGCGTCCCTGTCACCGCCCCCGTCCCCCCTCGGGCCGTTTCCCAAGGGAACACGTCCCGCGGGAGGGGTTATCTGGCTTCTGCCCCTTCGCTGGTGTGTCTGTATGTTTGTAGGTACTTATTTATTTATTTGTCTATTTGTTGATTGATGGATTCCAGTCCATTCACATCCTTTTTCTGGGGCACCTCTATTGCAATCGTCAGTTTCTCTGTCCTGCCCGGGGAACCCGGCGGGGACGTCCCGCCTGTGCTCCTGTCACTTGTCGGTAATTAGCCGGGAGGGCTGATTAGCCGGAAGGGGCGATTAATTACCCAGGGCACTCCCGGGCGCGGGATACTGCCCGCGGAAAGGCGCCATATGAGAGGGGGCGGTTCTCTGAGGACGGGGAGCTCCGCCAGTCCCGGAGGGGGCGGGGGAGGGGGAACACCCCCCTCGGTCATTAAGCGCCTCATTAGCGTCTCATTTGCATATCAATGACCCCCGAGGCGCGTTCCCGCCGCAGGGCGCCCCCTGCCGGCCCGGCGCGGGCACCGCAACCCCCCGGCGCGCGGCGGCCCCGCCCCTTCCGGCGGCGGCGGGGAGCGCAGCGGGGCGGGCCCAGCGCGGCGGGTTCGAATCCCGGCGCCGCCGCCCCCGCCATGAACTTCTCGGAGCTGTTCGAGCTCTCGGGGCTCCTGGGCCGCTTCTCCCCCGACGGGAAGTGCCTGGTGAGTACCGGCCTCGGGCAGCGGGGCCGCTCCGCCCGGGCCGGGCCGGGGCGGTTGGCGGAGCCCCCGAGCGGCCGCGGCGCGGGGCCCCCGGGCCGGGCCGGGGCGGACACGGAGCGGCGGAGCCCCGGAGGCCGCGGGTGCGAGCCCTGAGCGGGGCAGCGAGGGTCTGTAACGGAGACCTGGCTGAGGCTAAACGAACCTTAGGTAAATTAATTGGTGCTTTAATTAGTACCCGAAGGGAGCCGCAGGAAGGATGGAAAGGCACTTTCTACGAGGGCCTGGAGGGACAGGACAGGGGGGAATGGCTTCAAAGTGCCGCAGGGCAGGGTTAGAGGGGATAGTGGGGGAAAATTCCTCTCTGAGAGGGTGGGGAGGCCCTGGCACAGTTTGCCCAGAGAAGCTGTGGCTGCCCCATCCCTGGAATTGTCCAAGGCCGGGTTGGACGGGGCTTGGAGCACCCTGGGCTGGTGGAAGGTGTCCCTGCCCATGGCAGGGGATGGGACTGGATGGGCTTGAAGGGTCCCTTCCAACCCAAACCGTTCTGGGATTCTACGAAATAAAACAATAGTTATAAGATAAAGAGTAATTTTGTAAGAGCAGAATTACTTAGCCAGGAGTGATGGAATGAATGAGGATTCTATTGATTACTGTAACCTCCTTCCCTCCTGGTTTAGCTGTTCTCATTGTAGATTGCAGTGAGCTCAGTGCACACAGAATAGAATTACAGAATCACAGAATGGTTTGGGCTGGAAGGGACCTCCAAGATCACCCAGTGCCAGGGATGGGGCAGCCACAGCTTCTCTGGACAACCTGTGCCAGGGCCTCCCCACCCCAGGGAGGAATTTTTTCTTGAAAACGTGACTCTGACCCTCTCTGAACTTACACCCCGGATGGCAGTGGGGTGGGCAGCCTGGCAGGGACAGTCCCAGTGCTCCAGCCCAGGATGCTGCCCCTGCTCAGCCCTGTTCCTGTCCCGCTCAGGCCTTGTGTGTCCAGCACAGCTTGGTGGTCCGGGATGTGAGTTCCCTCCAGGTCCGCCAGCTCTACACCTGCCTGGATAAGATCCAGTACATCGAGTGGTCATCGGACTCCCTGTTCATCCTGTGTGCCATGTACAAGCGAGGGATTGTCCAGGTGAGGACAAAAGCAGGAGAGAATCTGTTTCCTGGTGGGAATTTGGGTGTGCTGGGAGTGAGAGCTTAATAGCCAGCACTAGTCTGAAGGTCTGCTGAAGTTCCTGATGTTGATAACGCAGTTTGAGGATAACCCAGCATGCCAGGATTTTTAAAGCCATAACAAACATCTTACTTTGAAAAAGAATATTTAGAATAAAAACATTTAATAAAACAAATCAAAGCTGGAGATTATCGTACCAGTTTCTTACTGCGGTAGAAAATAAATAACATGCAGACTTGTTGAACAGACCAAAACTGTTTTTTAAGTGTTGAATATTCAGAATATTTATCACAGAAAAACCAACCCCACCTCGTTTGCCACTTCCATTATCACCCAGAGGGGTGGGACTCACTTTTGCAGTGGGATCCAGCGCCAGTCCTTCATGGCCACGGGCGGTCAGGGGCTCCTGGGCTGCCTGGAATGGGGTGCCAGGAGCGTGTTCTCAGCTGTAGGGAATTCCCCTGAGCAGAGGGGTCGATGAGCTGTTGTTCCCTGCACTGTCTGGTTGTCCCCTGCCCCAGGTCTGGTCCCTGGAGCAGCCGGACTGGCACTGTAAGATCGACGAGGGCTCGGCGGGATTGGTGGCTTCCTGCTGGAGTCCGGACGGGCGTCACATCCTCAACACCACCGAGTTCCATGTGAGTGTCAAGTCAGGATTGCTCTCCACGGTGTCAGATGTTGCTGTCTGCCCTTTGCCTCCTAAAATAACCCAAAGCTCTTAAAGCTGCAGTGGTGGTGGAGAACACGAGTGCAGCTCTGTGTTCCCGTGTGTAACCCAGGTTAATTCCGGGGTGGATGTTTGTTGTTCCATTAACAGTTTATTCTCTTGCTGCTGGGGATAAGATAGAAAATGGACTCTCAAATTTGAAGGTAAAATTATGTGTTTGAGAACATATCCTGATAATTTTGATATTTTTATGGCATTCATCAAATTTAGAATTTTAGAAATCCAATATGTTGTTTGCAGGATTTCTAGCAAAAAAACCCCAAACAACAAACGCAAGCCATATTTGTTTGAGTGATATGTAATTAAAAAATACAGGCTTAGGTTTATTGACCTGTGAGATGAGATTTAGATCCAGGTCTTGGAAATACTTTTTCCCAGTTGTTTGATTTGATACACAGGAGTCAGACTACTGATGGAACCAGTTGGAAAATTAAAATTAAAACACCTCTAAGTGCTTATTAAGAGCCATATTGGGGAATGCACACTATGGTAGAATCCAAGTTGGAAGGCCTGTGGTTTCTGACTGGTCCACCTTTGAATTAGAGCTGATGATTCCTGTTGTTCAGTACAATAACGAAGGGTCAGAAAATAGCCAAGAACTACATATGAGAGCTACATTTCTCCTTGTGTTTACTCTTTTCAAACCTTTGGCTGGGTTTTAGGTAGCAGGTTCTCGTGCCATGGTCCTGGCTAGCACTGAATTCACATGCTGCATTGCAAGATTTCTTCCTTTTTTTTTGGGCAAACCCCAGTGTCAGGGGGGTGCAGACAGGGACTGTGTGTGTGCAGACCCACCCCTTTAGACTGTGGAGTACGAGGAGTGATGAGTTTAGGCCTTGGTTTTCCCGGGCGTGAGTTACTCTGATGGCAATTAAAATTAAAAAATGAGCCCAGGATTGCACCCTGGAGGCAGTGCAGCCATCCCTGCTGGCCGGGCAGCAGTGGAGGAGTCAGGACACTGCAGGCGGGTGCTCTGCGCTCCCAGGGAGTATCTCCTGGCACGTGTGTGTGGGGGTGGCCCAGCGAGGATTTATTGCCTCCCAACAGAACTTGCTTTGACCTTAGAGGATTTCATTAAGCCTTTGCCAAGTTGGCATCTGTGTTGGGATAAGTTTCCTCTCCAGCTGTAAACAGGTTGCTAAATTAGCTGTTGTCAGACAGCTGCCTGGGCCCGGCCGCGCTCCGAGCTGTGTTTACTCCCTCTGCTAAATCCACAGTCTGGGGGGACAGACGTGGGCAGTGCTGGGGGCAAACTGTGAGGATATTTAATATCAGCATGTTATCAAATCCAGTGATTGCCTGGGGGATTTGGGGGTTCCCCACCAGCCAGCTCAGCTTGGCTTTGGCCTCCTGACACTTTCAGACAGCACCAGCTAATCACTCATGTAATGCTTCAGGTCAGTGTGTGAGCTCCACTGAAAGCTCAGAAGTTACTTTCTTATTCCCTGAATTTTTTTTTTTAAGGGATGTGTTTGTACTTATTAATTTCTAGCAGTCTGTACTTACCAGTGCCTCAGAAAAATCATTACAGAATCCCAGAATAGCTGGGGTTGGAAGGGCCCTCTGGAGATCATCCAGTCCAACCCCCTGCAAAGGCAGGGTCATCTGGAGCAGGTGACACAGGAATGTGTCCAGGTGGGTTGGGAATGGCTCTAGAGAGGGAAACTCCATGCCCTCCCTAGGCTCCTGTTCCAGTGCTCCATGGAAAGAAATTCTTCCTTGTGTTGAGGTGGAAGTTGCTGTCATTTATGTCATTTATGGCTATCACTCCTTGTCCTGTTGCTGGGCACTACTGAACAGAGTCTGGAACCAGCTTTTGACACCCACTTTTGGGATTCAACTAACTTGCAGTCAGAGTCTCTTTGTGGTCTGCATTTCTCTCCTAAGATCCACTCTGGGAGGCAGAGTCCTGTGGAAGATATTGAACCAGTGCCGTTTTTCCACCAGAATTTAGAGGCATAGGTGACAGGTGAAAGATCTGGAGAAAACAAGTGGATCCTCTTCATGTCCCTGGAAATGTTTAAGGCCAGGTTGGACAGGACTTGGAACAACCTGGTCAAGAGGAAGATGTCGGTGGAACTGGATGATCTTGAAGCTCCCTTGCTCCCTCCCAGACCATTCCAGGATTCTGTGCTTCCTCATGACCCTTGTGTTTTGGGATAAATGGTGTGAAGATGTTCTGGAGTCCTTCTCTGAAGAGCTGTGCTTATAAACTACATACACTGTACTTTCCTTCCACATTAGGTCCTTAAGCATTAAGGAGCTTCTCTGGAACTCCAGCAGCAGGGAGAAGTGTGTGTTTTTGTGTGTATCCGGGCTAATCCTTAGTAACTGTGAGTGGCTGCGTTGGCTGAAAAATGCTTTCTGGCGAGGAATGTGCTCTGAATAATCTTCTGAAATCCAGTGCTGACAGACACTGCTATGTAAGGGGCCGAGTGACCCAGTCAAGTCTGGGACAAGAGTTGACAGTCATTTGAGCTGTAGGTTGTTTAAAAGTGTGTTTTTGTCTGCTGAAAATCACCAGTCCTACACCTGCCTGGAGCTGTCAACATCGGGCCGTAGTCCTGGACCCGGTGCTGGACACTGTTTATCACGTTACCATCCAAATACTTTTTATTTCTCAGCTGTTTTTAGGCTATTTTAAAAATGCTTCTGCTTTTGGTTTGTTTTTCCACTGCAAAACAACAGCTGAAAACTTCTCAGACACCATTATCGTGAGGATTTGAGTTTGACAGCTCCCCTCAGTCGAGTCATCGATGCTGGACAGAAAGTATCCCCCAAAATGAGCAGTGGAGAAGGGCTTGCTGCAGAATTAATGGACCATGGTCTGTTCTCCTGCTACAAAGGCAATTGTCCCTTCCCCCCAAATTCCATGAGAAAGGCAACAAGCAGCAACGCAAATTTCCTGTCACTTTTGAAAAGTTTTGTTTCTCTGTGTTTGATGTTTCCGTCTCTCCTGATCCTCTCTGTGAGCTGTGACATAATCTTTCTAATCTTCTTCATCTAATTTATGTTGGCAACTTGGGTGAGATTGTGGAATAATGTTCTAGGTGGGAGTATGTAGGTTTTCCCTTTCTGTCACAATTGAATTGTAAACACACAGTTAATCCAGGTAAGGGGCTGTGAAATCCATGCATTAAGCACATAATGTGAGATTCTCAGTTTGTGGGAACGTCTGAGTGTGCACAAATGGAACAACAGAAAAGGATCCTGATTGCAGGAATCAAAATGGTTTGGTTTTGAACGTTTCTTACACTGGGCCAAACCCTCAGGTTGTGTGAGTTGGGTGAGAGGTTACAGAGGGTTGGGGCAGAGTGGGTCCATGGGCTCTGACTTGCAGGTGTCATTTGAGCCTGCAGCCCTGGCAGGAGAGAGGGAGCAAAGCTGAACAGGCAGCAAGCAACAGGACAAGAGGAAACGGCCTCAAGCTGTGTCAGGGGAGGCTTAGGTTGGACACCAGGAGGAATTTCCTCCTGGAAGGGGTGGTCAGGCCTAGGAAGGGGCTGCCCAGGGAGGTGGTGGAGTCCCCATCCCTGGAGGTGTCCAAGGAAGGACTGGACGTGGCACTCAGTGCTCTGGGCTGGGGGACAAGGTGGACATCGGGCACAGGTTGGACTTTGAGGCCTTTTCCAACCCAAATGATTCAGTGGCTCCATGGTGGAGCAGAGATGGATGCAGAAAGACTTCAAAAGGAGGGTGTAGTTGCCTTTTCCCTGCGGTGGAGCCTCGGGCAGGGCAGAGGTGACAGTGGGAGCTCAGCGTGGGATGTGCTGTCTCACCTCCAGACATTTCCCTCTTCCTGTGCACTTGAGCTCCATGTGAGCAGCAAGGTTTTGCCTCCTGAGGCTCAGAGCAGCCAAGGTGGTCCAGGATGGCCAGGGGAGCTGATTGTGAGGCCAAGTGGCAGCACAAGTGTAAACTCGGATGCCTTTGTCAGGAGAAATGATGATCCAGCCCTCAGCATTCGAAGCCTGCAGCTGCTAAGCTTGTATTAAGTGGCTGGGGAATGTGTGCTGTGTGATTAGCTCGGGGGAGGCAGAGCAGCCAGTGCATTTAGGGCTGCAATTAATAGTCCCCAGCAGCATTTCAGCACTGCAGTTGCTGCAGGAGAATGTGTGGAGGCATCGTGTTGGTATTTTTAAAGTAAACCTTGCAGAGGAGCAGTCTGACAACGCTGGGCTCCTGTGGCCGGAAGTGAGGGGTGCAGGGATAAAACCTGATTAATGTCTTTCGTCTCGTGGATTCCTCCAGGACCTGCTACACTTGTAGGGGGGATTCTGCCCCTCTGCCCTGCTCAGGTGAGACCCCCCTGCAGAGCTGCCTCCAGCTCTGGGGGCCCAGCACAGCAAGGACATGGAGCTGCTGGAGCGAGTCCAGAGGAGGCACCAAGAGGATCAGAGGGATGGAGCAGCTCTGCTGGGAGGAAGAAGCTGAGAGAATTGGGATTGTTCAGCCTGGAGAAGAGAAGGCTCCAGAGTGACCTAATTGTGGCCTTCCAGTGCCTGAAGGGAGCCCACAAGAAAGATGGAGAGAGACGTTGGACAAGGGCCTGGAGAGACAGGACAAGGGGGAATGGCTTCAAACTGACAGAGAGTAGGTTTGGATTGGATATTAGGAAAAAAATCTTTACTGCAAAAAGCTCTACCTGCAGCTCTTCTGGAATCTTACCTCAGTGCAGTAAAATGTAGGAAAACACAAGGGAAAAGCTGTCTGTGGTCGCTGCAGTCCCAAATGCAAAGGTTCCCATGCCATCCTGAGTGTCCCTGGGTCTGGGGCTGCCGTTGCCAAGGGAGAGGCAGTATTTGTTTTTAACTGGATAATGTGCAGATGGCAGGGCCGAGCCTGGGGTGCAGCTGTGACCTTGGGGAGCTGTGGGAAGGCTGGGTCTGCAGCTGCCTGCCCTCTGCAGCTCCAGAAATCCCCTGAACACCAGTGTCATGCCTTGCTTGGCAGGGCAGGTTTGGGATGTTTTCTAATTTTTCAGTAATTCTGTAACATTGCCTCCCTGTGTGTGGCTGGGGAGGGAAGTGCAAAATCCAAATCTCCATGTTGGTGGTGTGAATTTTGTGCACCCCTCTAGAGTATTCAGTGTGGTGCAATGTAAATTTGGGGTAAATACCCTGCTATCTGCAGGGGGCTGGGAGAGAACTCCTCACCCACATTGAGCCATACTGAGTAGCCGCAGAGTTTAATTAACCACAGAAGGTTCATTGATCTACTTTGTGTTGCTGAACTAGGCTGATGTTTTTCTATTTGCTTAATTCTTTTTTTTTAATCTACAAAAATAACCCAAAGTGCTCCCTGTCTCTCTGCCAGCTGCGGATAACGGTGTGGTCCTTGTGCACCAAGTCTGTGTCCTACATCAAGTACCCCAAAGCCTGTCAGCAGGGTGAGTGTCACACATCTACCCAGCAATGGCCTTTTAATGTGGCAGACAGGAAAAAATGAATTTAGTGTGAAGGCATAAAATTAAGCTGGATGTGCTGTGGTGGAAAAACATTAATCCAAAGTGGCCTTTCTCATCTTTTGCACGTGGAAGGGTTGGAAAGGGAAGCTCGTGCCAGGGCTGTCAGGCCACATGGCTGTGGAGAGCAGTTTCCTGCCTGAGGGTTGTGTCCCACAGATGACAAAGACAATTATGTATTCCAGATTAAATTGTAGTGGATGGGAAGCAATGCCTGAGAGTTGGTGGAGAACTGATGGTTGCATAACTGATCCATTTAGCCAGGCTAAATGAAGTGGTTACTTGAAATCTGTGGGGTTTATATAACAACTGTCAGTGATCAGATGTGTTTTGAAGCTCTGCATCCTGAGAAATTGTACATTCCAAGCTCAAAAATTGCTGACACAAGCGAATCAGTAACACTGTGCTTAACCTTGATTAATGTGACCTTCTGCAAAGAGATTCTTTCTGCTCTTTCATTTCTGCTTTGAATTGGGAGTAACTGTTCCTCACTGAAGACTCATCAGCCGTCCTGCCTTGTTGTCTCTCTTCTGTTTAACACAGTTTTAATGAACTCTGTCCCCTGGCAGGGGTGGTTTTCACCAAGGACGGGCGTTACATGGCCGTGGCAGAGCGACGCGACTGCAAGGACTTCATCAGCATCTTCGTGTGCAGCAACTGGCAGCTCCTCAGGGTAAGCTCTGCCCTCTCCTCCCACTGCTGCATGTGTTGTAACATTACTACAGTAGTAATAGTGAGAGGAGCAAGTGCTAGATACTCAGAACATGTGATATAAACTGTTCACCCGTGAGATCAGTCCAGGAAGGGTGACACTGCTGTGGGGAACTGGGTGGATCTGAGCAATTAAACCCAGCAGGATCTTGTCTATGTGTAATGTCACCTCTGGCTCAGGAATTCTGAGGCTCACTAGAAGCTGATAGAAAAATTTAGGAACTATCACTAAGTGCTTGTGTTCCTGAGCTCTTCCCTAATAATCTTTGTTGTGGAGGTTGTGGCTACCCCATCCCTGGAAGTGTTCAATGCCAGGTTGGACGGGGCTTGGAGCAACCTGTTCTAGTGGAAGGTGTCCCTGCCCAGTGCAGGGGGATGGAACAAAATGAGCTTTAAGGTCCCTTCCAGCTCAAACCATTCTGGGGTTCTATGATCCTGTACCAGACTTTGAGACAAGGAATTCTACCTGGATTTCTTGACTGTTTCAGTGTAACTAATTTAATTTTCTTATGAAATGCTGTTCATTTGAAGGTATAGAAACTTTTGCCCTTTATATAAAGGGAAGCAAATATTACAAAAGGAAATATTTCTGTTTCTACTCTGGCATGCAAAAGGCTCTTTTGCATTTGTGGTAGCCCTTGAAAGTATAAAACTGAACATTCTGTCAGGATTCGTTGACATAATATTTCAAATGGGTTTGTGGTTTCTCTTTTGGGAGCAGCATTTTGACACTGAAACACAGGATCTGTTTGGGATTGAGTGGGCTCCTAATGGCTGTGTGCTGGCAGCGTGGGACTCGTGCCTGGAGGTAGGAGAAAAGCAGATAATTTTCTTGAGAGAGTTCAACTGGTCTTTAGGCATCATGTAGAAAGCAGTAACTAAAAAAAACCTGGTGTTTAAAATGTTTCTTTTAAACATAAAATGGTTTGAGTTCAGCTTTTGTTTAATATTGTACTTATATTTGGGATGGATGCCCTTGCAAGTGGGTGTCACCGTTCTGTAAATCTTCAATGACAGCAAATTCTTTCTAATTTATCTTGCAAAAAATAATTGATTGTAGACATTGCAGAAGGTGCTATTGAAATAATGAAATAATAATGGAAGAATCCTCTGTGAGAGTCTTCTGCAGCTTCACTGATATTGCACTGCACAGTGATTTTACAGTTATAAAACTACTCATCCAAAAAGTGAACCATGAAGCCTGGAGCCTGCTAACTCGTAGATAAGAGACCATGACCTCTGTATTTAACTTGCTGCATTTTAAACAGAGAGAGTTTGGGAGGAGTGCTTTGCCTGCCTGTGGTTTCTGCCACTCCTGCTGGTGTTCAGAGTGCCTGTCTGTGTTGCAGTACAAGGTCCTGCTGTACTCCCTCGATGGCAGACTGCTCTCCTCCTACCGCGCCTACGAGTGGCCTCTGGGCATCAAGTCGGTTGCCTGGAGCCCCAGCAGCCAGTTCCTGGCAATTGGCAGCTTTGATGAGAAGGTGAGAAATAGGTTTGTTTTCTCCCTCTTTTTTCTAAACCATCTGTAGAGCCCTGTCCTGACAGTCTGCTCTTGCAATGCTTCCTGAGCCAGGTGCGTATCCTGAACCACGTGACGTGGAAGAAGATCACAGAGTTTGAGCATCCAGCAACCATTGCCAGCAAAAAGACTGTAAGTACAGATCCAAAATCCATGGCGTTGTTAGCAGAGCTTTGGTGCTGCTGTTTGTATCTGAAAGATGCTGAGAAATGCATTTCATTTTGGAGACCTTGATTTTCCCCCCCCCACCTCCTAACACCTAATTAGGGCTTGGGAAATTGCATGAAAACTTGGGAATGTAAGAAAAATGGGGGAATCCTTTCAAATGTGATGGGATATGTGTCTGTGATCTTCTCCTTAGCACTAAGAGATGCTCAGATGCTCCTGTCATATGCCAGTGTATTTGGTGTAGGTGGTGGCTGCATTACAGATCTGGGTGTGCAGCCCATGGGAAGGAGGAGGGATTTGTCTCAGCTTTATACAGTTCCTGACTTTGATCACAATCCAGTTCCAGTGATGTTTAGAGGCACATCCTGTGTGGACAGGCTCATCCAGCTCACCTAAAGAGCATTTCCTGGAACATCTGTCAGCACTGATTTTATCCTTTATACCTGTACCTGCAAGGCCTGACAGATTCTGGGTCGTTGGCAGCAGGCACAGAGCTTTAGTCTTGTTCCAGAAATCCCAGGCTGATCTCATCCACAGAGGTAACAAGAACAGTGTGTAGAGTTGTTTGCCACTGTAGGAGGGACTGCACAGGTCTCCTGGCAGAGTCTGTGTGTGGACTGTAACTCTGCAGTAGTCACACGACTCTGCTCATGTCCCTTAACCAGAAGAAAGGCACGAGCCATTAAAGCACCTCAGCAAAGCTTCTCATGGCTGAGAAATGCCTTTACTTCCAGTTAGGTGTAAAATATGTCATGGAAAACAAATGGAAATAGCTCTGTTAATCTCCACTACACAGGCAGGAATTGCAGTTGGTGCTTTTTAGCCTGGTGCTTGTGTTTGGGAATATGTTGTAGGCATGCTGAAATATTTTTGCTATTTCCTTCTGCAATGCTGCACTTGGTTTGAGTTTATTTATGATAGAATCAGATTAAAGATTCTTGGCTGCAAAAATGAAATCCATGTTCCCACTGTAACGAGGATGATTTATTTTCCAGTCAGGAATAATGAATGAGGGGCACTGTGGCAGATTCATTCCTTGTAGACTTCAAGGTTTGTGTATTTGTCACAGGAGTGTTTTTACTGATCATGGTTCCAAACAGCCTGGGTTTCCCTGGGAATGCTGAATTCCATGTCTGTCTACCAAAGCCCTTTCCTCTGATGAACCAAGGGATTCTGAGATATAATAAATGTGCAAAGAGTCAGTGGGGTGTGGGTGTTTGGTAACAGCCCATGATCAAACTCTCCAAGGCCCTTCTGTAGAACTCTCACTTGTTTCTTTGTAGATTGTGTACAAAGAAGTGGAGAAATCCCCATCTGTTGAAACAGAGAGACTTTCTTTCCCTCCAACAAAAGCATTGGCCAGTTCTCTCTTCAGTACACAGAGTAAATGTAAGCCAAAGTTTACTTAAACAAGACATTTGAGTTTGCCATGGGAAGTCTTTCTATAAATAAATGGTATAGGTGAACTCTGCCCCTTGGATGGTGGAACAGATCCTCTGGGTGTTCTCAAGAGCAGTAAAAACCAATCTCATTGTTTGTGGCACTGTTAATGACCTTTGTTTTGCACCAATGTTTGAAATGTTAGTGAAAAGGTAGTGGAAATTTTGACCCCTCCTTATTTTCCTAATTTAATCTCAGACCTGCCTGGATTTCCAGCCTTTCCTTTTTTGTAAGAGGGCTGGAAATAATAAGCTGGTTATATGAATATGCAATATCTTAAAAGAATTGAAGTTTTGACTGGAACATCTTGGAGAGAGTAAAATGTGGTCCTGTCTCTTCAGAGATGATGGGTTTTAACAGCTGGGGTTTAAATGCATTGTCCATTCAGGCTCACTTAGTGAAGTGCTTTTCTTTCCCGTTCCAGATGAGATCTCCCAGGTGCCAGTTTCTTTACAGTATATCAAACCAGTTGCTGACAGGGCAAATCCCAAAGTGGGAGTTGGGATGTTGGCGTTCAGTGCAGATAATTGTTTCCTGGCAACCAAAAATGGTAAGTTCCGACTGCTCTGCCTTAAAGGGAAACCCGCTCTGGGAATGGGGGGGTTTCCTTATTGCACTTGTTGCTCTGTAAAATCAGCTCTGCTGAGACGTGTAACTACAGAGGCAACCCAGCCTCTGTCTTCTAGTGTATGTCAAGTGGTGTGAGCTGCCAGAATGGCTGATCAGAGCAGGAACTCAGCCTTGGCTCTGTATTTGATGAAAATAGTAGGTTTTTATATTTTATATGTGTGTGAGGTCACTGTGTTGAAAATGGAACATGCAAATCTTCCCCTCCATTTACAGCCTGGGGCTTGTGAAAGGCAGAACTCTGCACAGCCTGTAGCAGGAGGGATTCTGACTACCTCAAATAGTGAAAGTCATGGAATTATGTTCCATCTTTCCCTTCAATGATCCTGAGGAGCTGTTCATGTCTGGATGCCAAAGCTGTGCGTCAGGTGCAAAACCCACCAAACAGACTGATGAGATAAAAGCCAGGGAAGAACTGGGAGGTGTACTAAGTCACTTCTTTTACCGTTTTTGCAATATTTCCAAGGCAATGCTGAAGGCTTTGCTTGGCAAGACTCTAGTGGTGGCACCCCTGGGGTGCACCTAAAGGTTTGTGTTGTGTTAATTTATGTTTGTGTCAGTTAATGCCCGTTTAAAAAAACACAAGTGTGACCCTTTCATCCTTCAAGCCTTACGTGACTGGCACTTCCTTTGCAGACAGCATTCCCAACGCTGTGTGGGTCTGGGACATCCGGAGGCTGAAGCTGTTGGTGGTGCTGGAGCAGCTGTGCCCCATCCAGGGTTTCCAGTGGGACCCTCGGCAGCCGCGCCTGGCGCTGTGCACGGGCACCAGCAGAGTGTTCCTGTGGTCCCCCGCCGGCTGCGTGGCCGTCCAGGTGCCCGGGGAAGGTGAGGCCCTGCAGGAGCTGCCACCAGCTGATCAGGGGCAAAACAGCTTTCCACTTATTAATCACTCCGAGTGTTATCATGAAAATGGCTCAGGTGTGTTCTTGGAGCTTCTTAAAAGCAGCAGGTATTTTTATCCTCAGAAAAAGGAGGAGCTCACAATGAGGCAGCAAATGTCAAATGTATCAAGGACAGAGCAGGGGGCTGACAGGGGTTTGTGTGACTGGTTCCAGCTGCCTTTTCCTCCAGCAGGAGGATGGGCTGCCAGCTCCTTGCTGACACACTCTGATCTCTTCCTGCAGGCGACTTCCAGATCGTGTCTCTCTCCTGGCATTCCAGTGGGGACTCCATGGTGCTCCTGAGTAAGGACAACTGCTGTGTGTGTTACTTAGAGAGAGAAGAGGTAAAATAAAAAAATTAAAATGCACTAAGAATGCTCCCAAGTCTGAGGAAGGAGGAGGAGAAGGGTAAAAATGTGTTGCCCAATCTGAAGTGTTTGTATTTATAAATTATTTATTTGAAGGAGCTCCAGGCTCAGTGTGTGAAGTATTGTGATTGCACTTGAGTGATGTAGCAACTGAAATGTAGGGAGTGAGTCTGGATTGCAAGAAAAACCTGAATATTGATGGAGTTGAACATTTCTCTGTGTCAACTCTGAACCCTTATTTTCCAGGACTGTAGCTCTGTGTGTATATAATGTATAGCTATTATTTAAATTTTCTAATTTCCAATAAATATTTTGATAGTTACAAACTATAAACCTGCACCTCTGCACTCTAAAGTCTGTTTCAGTTTGTGATTATGCAGTGACTTATCCCAGCATGAGGAAACTGTTATTTGCACACAACGTGGGAGGCAGTAACTGTGCCTGGGCCACTGTGGATTTATTATATGAAATCTTTACAAGAGGGATGACAACTGACATTTCAGGATGTTGAATTACAGGCAACTGAAATGGCAGTTTTTGTCCCAATTCTCTGGTGTCAGCTGGGAGTGGGTGGTTTGGTAGGGAAGGAGCAGTTGGACTGTCCTTCCACTGTGTGCCTCCAAGGAGGGAGCCCCTTGTGTAGGAATTTATTGGATGTTTTTTCTTGTGATGCCTAATTTCACAGCCTGTCTCCAGAAAATGAAAAACAAAGACCAAATTGAGTTGAAATTTAACTTTACTGCAAGGTTAATGAAAATTGAACAGACAACTTAGAAAATGCACAGAGAGGGACAGTGCAGCTTGTTGCATTCCATCAGGACACCAGCTTTTTATGAGTTTCACAAACACACACCTATGTTAAGGCCAAAAAAACACCACTGCAGCACAGTGTTTATCCAGCAGATAAAGGCTTTGATAAAAGGGCATGGAGAGAAGGTCATGCACAAAGAAAAAGCTTGTTAGAATCACCTCTTCAGCAATGCCAGCTCAGTGTCTCTTGTGCTGCTTCTCAATTTAATCCCTGGACGTGAGGCTCAGGGCAGGAATGTATAAAGCAAGGCTGACACACAGTGCTGAAAGTTTTTTCTCTGTCTCCATTAAAAAGTCCTGGCCCAAACTAGAGTAGATTTCAGAAAAATGGTAAGAATATCAATCTAACCAAAATAGAATTCCTTTTCAGTTTTACAAAGAACAGCTTTGAAGGCAAATGTGTTGGTGAGGCTTTTGGCAATGTTCTCTCACAACAGTCTTTATTCTGTGGCTGCAGCAAGGAAACAGAGGAAGTTCCAGTGGGTTCTTAGAGGGATTTTTACAAAAAGCATATTCAGAGTTCACCAACTGCTGCTGAGCAGGTGGAACAGTGCAGCTTTAGCAAAAGCCAGCAAATATTGTTAAAGACTGACTGACAGCTTTCAAAACTCCTAACAGGCATTAATGAGAGCGCTGAGATTATGGAGATTGGAACAGTAATTCCTCTTTAGACAACACTAATCAGTCCCGAGCACAGGGTAGGATCTGACACCATACACAGGGATACAGCAGTAACGTGGCACAAAGGTTCTGTTGTACAGCAGGTACTTGGGCGGGGTTTCAGCAGGTTCCAAGGGCACTTCATGAACAGGAAGAACAGGCCTGGAAGGACACGGAACACGCCGCTGCTCACCCCACAGGGACCATGTGGGCTGTACATCAGGTACAAAATACCAGACTGACACCACCCTGTGTCTGCCTCAAATCCAATCTGTGCATTCCCCAAGCGACCTGGAACTGTCCTACAACCACCCCCTTTCCTTCCCCGCACTCCCCTCTGCCCGTCGTGTGCTCTGCCCTCAGCGCGCTCTCCCCGGGGACCAACAGCAAGTCACCTGCCCTTCAACGGGGGACAGCAAGGGGGCTTAAAATCCAATTTTTCCTCTTGTCATGGAGTAGCCCAGCTTGGCCTCGTTGTTGATGAAGGACATCAGTCCCAGGTAGGTCTCGATGAGGATGGGCCGCTCCAGCACCAGGACACCAGAAGCACTCCCTGGCACAGGGCCCTCCTTGTGGGCTTTCTTCACAGCCTGGATCAGCTGCGTTTGGAAGTTTTCCAGCTGAAAGAAAAAAAAGTCACCTTGTTTTTCCATTGTTTTACAAACTGTTAGGGAAACAGCTGCTGATGTGGAATGGAAAAGGATTAACACTAAAGCCAGAGTTGTCAGGGATCTCATACTGTGATAAATGTCACATTCTGATATTTAATCTCAACAAGTCATGCAGGACACTATTGACACGTGACTTAAACGTGGGCTGGATGGGTAAAGATGTGTCAGTGACCAAGTGTTTATTTCTGCCCTGATGACTGATGTGTTGCACTTAAAGCATTCTAGTTTTAAGGAAAACTCTAGAGGGAATCACCTATTCCAAGAAGGACTGCGAACCCCCTCAGTGAAAGTTTTCAGTGAGCAATTAAACCAGCTGTTAATTAGCTGGCAGTCCTAGAGGAAAAATCCACCAGCCTGTCAGGTAAGTAAGAGCAGGAATAGGCCATGATCCATTTGCTTTTCGGTTTTACAGGACTCTGTGCTTCTGGAAGTTTCAGTTTCCTCTGTGCTTCATGCAGTTATGGGTGGCTGGAGGAAAACGGGCAGTTGTGCCGTGCTGCAAGTCAAAATTTGGGGACTGGAGAGCTACAGCTCACAGTTCTAAGTTCCATCTCTGACGTGACTCCTCCTGTTTGATGTACTGCTTCAAAGTAATCTAGGTTGTATCTGGCCTGTGAGCTCAGTGATCAGGACAGGCCCGTTCCTTACCCGGCACAGGGATGCGACCTTCTCGTCAGCGTCTGCCATGGGGTGCTCGGTGAAGGTGATGTAGGGGATGTTGGTGGACCAGGGGTTCCACCTGTTGATGAAGGAGGCCCGGCTTTGCTTGTCCCACTGAATGCGGATACCGACACCTTCCCGCCTGCAGCGGAGACAGGAATTAACAGGGTAAGACTTTCCAGTTGTTGAGGCACCTTTTAACTAGAAAGTTCTGCCTGACGAAGACATAGTTGAAACTAGAAGCTGAAATGCAAGTGATAGGAAATCTTTCCTGTAGGCAAGAATTAGCATGAATTCAGCCCTTAAACATGCAAAGGAACCTTCCTATGAGCTGACAGCAAGAAGGTGAAACTCCTTGGACATCTGGGATGTGGAACTTGACCTGCACAGCCTGTGAAAGCCCATGTGTACAGGGGACCTGACAACACTGAGGTGGTGCTGCTGCTACTTACTGCATTACATAATGGTGACAAACTCCTGCTCCCAAATCTACTCAACTTATCTTGAAAGTCCTTGAGCAACTTGCTATTACTGCAACTACTGACTGTACCAGCAAACCAGCAGCTACCCTGAGGTCTTCTAATGAAGCTTCAGGAATTGTTTGCAGAGCTAAGTAAGTGAAAAGAAGAATTCTCTGACCCTTCCAGTGATCAGCATCAGGCCGACATTGTTCACAATAACAAAGGTCGTTTCAGAGTGACTGTGGCAGCTTACTTGTTCAGAGATTTCGGTGGGAACTCGAACTCCCCCACGGAGATGGTGTCCACAGCGCTGAGGGCGATCCTCGTCACCTGCTGGCACTGCAGGCTGATGAAGTTGTACTTACACACCAGGAGGGACCAGTCCGTGATGAGGACAAGACGCTCCTTCTCATTGTTCCAGTGATCGATTCTGGTAAGAGAATGGGACTGAGCTTTAGTGGTTCCGAGGCCGCCCTGGCGCTTCTCCCCCCGTGCCCCGCGGAACTCACTCTGTGAGCAGCCACACGCTCTGCACCTCCCCGTCCTCGGCGGGCAGCACGACCACCCGGATCTCGCTCACCGCCTGCTCGATGGTGCCGGGCTGCGGGGGGAAGGCACACACAGGTCAGGGCTGCGGGGGGAATGCGGGCGGCCCGGCCCGGCCCTTCCCCGGCGCGCACCCGGAACACGAAGTACTGTCGCAGGCGGCCGGCGCGGCCCGCGGTGCGGACACTGAGCGGCCGCAGCGTCTGCCGGGCCCGCGGCGCGGGCGGCTCGAAGGGCGGCCCGGCCCCCCCCGGCACCAGCGTGGCGGCCCCGGGGCTGCCGGGGCTGCCGGAGCCGCCGCCCGGGCCGGGCTCGTCCGCGTCCCGCAGCTGCAGCATCGCGGCGGGGCCGCAGAGCCTTCCGGGGCGGAGCGAGCGGGCTCTGGGGCTGCCTCTGCCTGTGCCTCTCCCGCTCCTTGCTGGCCGGGAGGCGGCACTGCAGCCCCGGTTCGCTCACGGGAGGCGGCACTGCAGCCCCGCCGCGCTCCGGAGGATGCGCGGGCGGTACCCGGACAGAGCCCGGCCGCCGGGATGCGGGGCACGGGCTGCGGGGCATCCGTTACCGCGCTCTCTGGGTAACGGGCGCGTCCCCATCAGGCGCCGGGGCGGTGCGAAGCGGCGGATGCCGTCACTGTCGCTTGCCCAGAGCTGTGTTGGGTACCAGGTGCCGTCACCGTCACGCACAGGAGCTGCGTCAGGTACTGTCACCATCACACACCGAGATTGTACCGGGTACCATCACTGTCCCACACCTGGGGCTGTACGAGGTGGTGGGTGCTGTCACTGTCCCTTGCCCGGAGCTGTATTAGGTACGAGGTGTCTCTGCTCTCGCACATCTGGGGCTGTATGAGGTACCAGGTGCCGTTCCTGCTGCACACTCAGAGGTGTATGCGGCCTGTCTTGGCTCTGCCGTGGATTTTCGGGGCTGAGGAAGACAAGCACATGACACACAGCACAGAGAGTCCAGTGGGAAGCCCTGGGCTTAGCCAAAATGATGCTCTGCTCTGCCCAGGTGGTGTGGAGAAGGATTCTGATGTACCCACAAAGCAACAGGATTTGTGGACCTACAGCGGCCAGTTGGAGCTCCTGTGAAGCAAATCCAGGTCAGAGGTATGAGATCCTTAAACACCATCAGGTCAGAGCTCAGGAAGGTACTGGAGCAGTGCAGGTCTGGGGACAGGACTGTGATTTGAGAGCCCTGACACCCATATCACACCCAGCATGCTTGATAGCGAAGATTAAATAATGCTGGGAATGAAGGGCATGCTGATGTTTGGGTTTCTGTGGGCTCTGGCATGACTGCAGATATTATCATCACTGTTTATGGAACTGTATCAAATCTTGGACCACTGTCAGTGCTGTTGTACCCAGAGCCAGAGGATGACATCCTTGGCGGGCGGCCGTGCTGGGAAATGATATAAGATTGAAAACATACCAAATTGACTTCACAGATGGGGTTGGGTTTCAGATATCTGACTTTCACATGTGTCCCACGAATTCCCTGCTGTGTTCTCTGCAGCCCTTGCTCACATGGGCCTGTTTAGGTGGGAAACCTTGCTGCTGTCTTTAAAGAGACTTTACAAGAACTGCAGAGCTGACTTTATGCTCGGTCGCTCCTCGTGCTGTGCTCAAAGCGCAGCTTTTCCCAGAGGAGCTTCCCCTTCTCCCCACTGGCAGCCTGCTGGGGTGGCTGTGGCTGGGAGGGTCACCATGCCAGGCCAGCCAGGACCCTGCAGTGAGTTGTGTCCTGTCCATGTGGCAGCCAGGCTTGTCACCTGAGACAGTGTGGGAGCTGTGGCTGGACTGATCCATCCCCATTCCTGGCCCCGAGCCGTGTCCTGGAGAGGGAGCTCGACTCCCGGCTCTGCCCAGCCCCTGCCCATTGAGAGGGATCCCTGGAAGTCTAATTGGGAGCAGCAGCCCGTTTCCTACTGTTGGAAAAGTCCTAACTTTTAAATGCTGGACAGGAAAACAGAGGCTTGGATTTATTATATCCTGGAGCTCTCTCTGTTGTTATAAAACATCTTTATGTAGCTGCCTTTCTTCCCGAGGAAGAATGAAGGATGTTTTCTTCCCATCCGTTAGGCTTGGCAGATATTTTACTGCTAAGTGGAAGCATTAAGCCTCCTCACCTGCTCTTTTCTTTGACCTCTGGGATTTATGGCACTGCTGTGACCTTGGGAGGGTTCTGGTGTAAGAAGCAGCTGCCTCGGTTTCTTCCAAGAGCCACCAGATTATGGGCATGGCCCTTGGGGACTTTAGTCTTGATTAATGGTTGTCCTTCAGTGGCAAAATATGTCTGTGAAACTATCCAAACCTTCTTATCCTGCTTCTCTGGGGAAAATCAGCACCTGCCAGAAGCAAGGAGTGCCCTGGAGTGCCCCAGCTTCTGCTCTGGTTCCTCCTCGCCCTTGAGAAGGGTTTCCTGGCAGGTTCTTGAGGCTGGAGCGTTCAGTGCAGCATCCCTGCTCTGCTCTCCTCCCCATCCCGCTGTGCAGCTGGAGCTGTCCCTGTCAGCAGAATTTCCTTGGGAAGTGATCAATTTACTTATCTGTTGGAGTGCTTAGGAAAGATTGAATCTCTCTTTGGGTGTTTTTAGAGCTGCTGGGAAGGTGGTGTGTCCGGAGCTGGCCCTGGGAAGTGCAGAAGAGCTGCCTGTGGAGGAGCAGACCCGAAGCATCGCTGCTCCATCCCCGTGTGCAGGGCCGCCCCCTCCCCTGCTCGGGGCTGGGCACCGCTGGTGGGAGGGATTTCTGACTGACAGCGAGCAAAGAGGCAGGAGAGCATGTGAGGGAAAGGAGCTGGACCTGGAAAGGCAGGGGGAAGTTTTGTGACTCCCGTGAACTGCAGGGAAGCTGCTCCGGTGCGTGTGTTCGTGCCCGCGGAGCTGCTCGCTCCCGGCTGCGGAGGAAGGTGGGAGCTGCGGCAGGAGGATGCCTCCCCCTCTGCGGATGGAGTGAAGGAGCACCCCGTGTGCTTTGGGGAAAGCCCCTGAGAAGTGGGATTCTCCTGCCAGGAGAGCTCCCGTCCTTCTTCTTTCCTCTTGCCAAGTGCTGTTTTTCAGAGTGCCTTGGGAAGGGGATCTCAGCTCCGGAGCAGCTCAGCCCACATGGGGCTGTGCTGCTGGACACAGCCCAGGTCTTGTGAGCCCCCAGATCTCCGGGCTTTGTCAGGAAGCAAATCCCAGAAGGAAAAGTCACTTCAGTGCATTTCACTGCGAGCAAATGAGCATGAGAAGCCAGGTTTGGTTTGGGGGAAAACCCAGCAGCAACCTGCACTGTGATCACTTCCCATGGACTGAAGAAGGTCGCTGAATGAGCCCAAGAGGGAGGAAGCATCCAGGAATGATAAATCCGCTTTCCCGCCGCGAGAACTCCCCTGTGCTCCGGTAGCTTTGTCCTTTCCAAGGAGAGACACCGGCAAGCTGGGAGCAGGAGGCAGCAGGATCGTCTGCCCGTGAGGAGGAGGAACTGGCGGAGCTGTGCTGGGGGAGGCTCTGGGATTCCCTGGGCACCCGCTGGGAGCACCTGGAGGGAGAGCAGCGGCTGCGATGGAGTTTCCTGCGGTGGCACTGTCGTTCATCCTGGCCCTGCGAATATCTCCGCTGGCTTCTGGGAGCAAACTGCAGCCCCACATGTGAGTAGGAAGGAGCGAGCTCCGGAGGGGTTTTATCGGGCAGGGAACTGAAAAGCAGGAGCCAAATACAGTGTTTTCAAATCAAGGAAGAAGCGAGGAGCAGGGAGTGAAGGGGAGCAGGGGCTGTTGTGGGTTTCTTTATTTACTACCAGATGTGCAAAAAAGGGAATAGAATATCGAAAACCTTGATAATCTTTGCTTGTAAACTCCCAGGTTTAACTGAAATGCTGCTGTTGTGGGAGTGAAAGAGGTGATTCTTCTCTGAAAGAGGTGATTCTTCTCTGAATAGTTTGCCCTTTCTTCCCAGATGGGCTGTTTTTATGGCACTTCACGGATCTTTCTTATTCCACGGTTCCTCCCCACCCGCTGCTGTTACTCCAGCAGCACGTAGGCTGCTCTTTTTAATTACATTTTACAGTTACAGTTTGGTGTTAATCATTTGGCTGCTTTGGAAAACTTCCTTGCAAATTTGGCCTCCTGCCAGAAGATGGTCTCTCAGAGCCAGGGGATCGCTCTAATTCCCTTTGTCCATGGAGCCGGTGTGGTGTGGGGCACTGACTCCAACCCGCCCTCCCTGAGGGGTTTAGTTCTTCAGTAAAAGGGGTCCTTTAGCAGATAAAAGTTTTCCAAGAAGCTGCTTTTTCTCCCTGCATCAGGGGTTTTGTGCTCCTGCCCTGACAGTTGCTCTCAGGACTCCTTGGACGAGGCCCTGGAGCTGAACCCTGTGCCAACGGGCTGCAGTTGGAGTGGAGCACCCGGAGCAGTCGGATGCCAGCTGTGATCTGAGCTTCACCACGTCAAAATTATTTCGTTTCACTTCCTTTATAGAAAGTATCTTTGTGAAAACTCTGGATCCCTTTGGTGGAATTGGAAGCAGCAGAAGCAGCCCCAAATGCTGTGTGGCTCGTGGCTTATAGAGTCAGGGATAAATGTCTCCCTCTTTAGTCTTAGTTAAAACCACTGACTTCTGCTGGGAGAAAGAGTTAGGATTAGAGAAGAAACAAAGTGCAAGTGGTATTTCCCTTATTTCCTTACTGCATTGTATATATTCCTTTTATTTACTGGAATTAGTCTTAGTTCTGAATGAGTGAGAAACCGCCACTGTGGCTGGCTGACCTGGCACGATTTCTTTTCCCTGCAGTGATTTAACTAATTGAGGAGGCAGATGCTGGGGGCTGCCCAAGACCTTCCTGCCCTGTCAGCAGGAAGTGCAGTTGCCCACGGCAGGAGCCTGTTGGGGGCAGTGGGAGCACTGCTGCGCCCCTGGACACCCCAGACCCCTCTGTGCACCCCCAAACCCTCCCAGCCCCCCTGTACCCCCGTCTCTGTGTCCCAGGCCGAACGTCTGCGCGGAGCAGGAGCTGGCGGTGGTGGGGCAGCAGCAGCCGTGCGTGCAGGCGCTGACCCGCGCCGTCAAGGTGTGGAAGCAGGACTGCGGGGGCCGGCGCTGGTGCACGGGCTACGAGCGCAGGTAGGTGCTCTGCCTTCCACTGGGGTCCCTCCCTGGGGGCTGAAAGGGGCTCCTGCTCCCCAGCAGCAGCGGGGAAGTGAGCTCGGTGGTGTCTGATCCCACCTGGCACATCCACGACACGACACGGAGTTTTTAAGCTGTCAAGGAATTCCTGAAGGAGCCTCGTCCTCGTGGTGGGCCACTTCCCGCCTTCCCACGACGTAGGTACGACACCTGCTTCCTGTGATCCAGCTGTGGTAAGGAAATGACCTGTTCACATCACGTGTGTTATTCCTGTGTCTTTAGATGCTTCAAAGCATCTCGGTGCCTCTTGTCTCACAGGGCTGATGGCAGGAGGGCTCTTGTCTAAAAATAACTGTAGCTGTGGCTGTGGTGCCGGCGATGGGGTGGAGGACAGGGACTGGTGGGGTGGCACTCAGCAGGATTTGCTGCAGGATCACCACCTTCCTTTCACTCCATGAGCTGGACCATGCTCAGGCCCACGTGAGAAGAGCGTAGAGCTCAGTGGAGTTGGGCTGGCACGGGTGAGCACAGAGTTTGAATGTACTCGTGGTATCCCTTGAGTTCCAGCTGTCCAGAGCTGGGAGCCCGAGCAGGAGGGCCTGAGGAAGGAGGGCTCTGAACACATGTGACAGTGCAAATAATGCACTTTTCTTACCTACCCAGCAGCCAAACTACAACGTGCCCAAGCTGCTTCCGTCCTCCACCTGCTTTTCCGGCCTCATTAGGCACCTACGAGCCTTTACAGAATAATGATAGTTGTCATCTCAAAGAAACATCTTGGACTCTAGACAGCTTTTAAGTCTTGACTTTAGGAATTCCTCCTAACCTGTAATTGCCAGTAATTACCCTGGCGATGAGATCCGTGTCCTGGTAACAAAGGCGCAAACAGAGTCTGGTTTTTGGCTGTGTTTTAAGGGAAGGCTTTGAAAGGATGGGTGCCCTGTCTGCTTCTACTTCAAAGGCTGGGAGCCCTTCAGCCCCAGCTGTCCCTTCAGCTCTTTAATGGATGGTTTTGACATCATAAATCAAGAGACTGAAATGAAAAAACTTTCTGTTCTGCTGCATTCTAAATATCAGAACAGCCCAGTGCTAAAACTCTGTTCCTGATGAAAACGCAGAGGAGAAGCCTGTGAGATATTTCACCCCGGGAGCTGTGAGAGCAGAACGTTCCTCAGGTGGCATTTTGTCCCAGATCCCCTCACTCTAAACCTCTGGGAGTTCCCACTGCAGCAAACCTGTTCCAATAGCTGGGAGCTCTCCTGCCAAGCTCCCCTGTGCCGAGCACTCGAGGGCAGTGGCACTCACGGGGACTCTGGGGAGCCTCCGTCTCACCCTCTGGAGCTGCTCCAGTTGGACCTGGCTCTGGAAGCACGGGGCTCAGGAAGTGCATTCACAGCTTCAGGATCTGGCCTGAAATCGGCCTCGGTACCTTTGAGTTCCTGGAGGTGACTGGGAAAACCAGCCCCTGCTCCGTGGAGCATCCTCAGCCTGCTCTGCTCCACCTTCCTGGGGAAGGGATGGGTTTGCTCCCGGTGTGCAGCTTCCCAATGAGTGATGACAGCAGGTAGCTTTGCTCAGAGCTCCATAACCAAACCTGGAGGAGTGATAGTGATACCCCAGAGGGGCTGGAAGGGGATTTTCCAGCAGCAGGACACAGCAGGATTTCCTGGGTTCCATTAGTTCTGGCTCATTCCACATTTTCTGTGCCAGGGGCTCCTTAGAACACAAAAGAAAACAGAAGTGCTGAAGATAAAGTATCTCCTGTGTGGCTCTTTCCCGTCTGCAGCACCCAGATACCCACAGGCACCGAGGCTGTCACAATATTTGCCTTTCCTGAGAACCCTGCACTGGTGGAAGGGTCTGAAGTGTCCAATGGAGCCGCCCGGGCGTGTGGGGGTGACACTGCCCAGGGGCTGCTGGGGCACAAGGAGCCCGGGATCAGCCCTGAGCTGTCCTACCTCCCTGTTTCTACCTTTTCCTCCCCATTTCTGAACCTCCTTGTTATGTTCACACCACCCTGCACCCACCATCTCCTCTTCTCCTTCCACAGCCCCCTGTCCTCCCCAGGCTGGGCTGGACAGAGCTCCTGGTACCAGGAGGATCCTGATGCATTGGAGCCTGGTGCCTGTAAATTGCTTTCTCAGCTTCTTCTGGAACACAACTATTTCCTTCATAATGTGCTAACAGCTCATACAAAAAAAAAATATTGGAATCTGCTCTTATTTTTCTCAGCTGTTCTTCCACGTGCTGATTGGCACAGAGGAGTCCAAAGGTTTCCTTCCTGGGAATTAATGGTTCGCTGTTACTTGGGTTTTTTTTGTAGAGAGACATTCAGATGAAATCAAACAACTCGACTGAGTTAGGATAAATATTTTCAGTGGACATGCACAACACATCTGCTGTGCCAAATATTTGTTGTTGTTTGCCTGACTTGCTTTGGTGGAGCAGTTTCATGTTCTGCCAACTGAGCTTTGCAAAAATCAGCTTCAAAAGTTTTATCTGTGTTTCAATTCTCACAAACACACAACATCAAATTTCCGGGAAAAAACGTGTCGCTTTTATTTATTTACACTTCAGATGAGTCCCTGCTTTACTCCCTCAGCTCCCACCCTGGAGGGAACTACTTGGAGTAGTTAAAGGGATCCTCAGCATCCCCTGCCGAGCTGTGGAGCCTTGCTGTGTACAACACAGCTTTTGGAGGAGCTTGGTGTTGCCATCAGGATTCTGGTGATTTTTTAGCTCACCAGACCCTTGGAGACACCTGCTCCTGCTCACTAAAGCTGAAATACCTGTTGTTCTTAAAATTTACATTTCCTTTGTGAACAAGTGTAAGAGGGGATCTCAGAGCTGTGAAATAGGTTAGAGGAGAAGAAGAGAATCCAAGGTGTTATGGGGACCTGGGCACTCATCTCTCGTGTTCCCAATTAGAGTAAATTAGGAGTATTTTCTTAGCATCAGTGATCGCTGCCAGACCAGGTGGAAAACAATATCAGCACGTTTGGAAACACAATTCCTCGTTGTCTTTGCCTCCACATTTAGAGTAACCAGCTCTGTTTTCACAGTTCCTTGTGCAGCAGGAGCTGACCCTGCTGGGTTTCTCTCTGTTGTGTTCCAGGGTGCTGTACTACACGGGCTACAGGCAGCTGTACCAGCTGAGATCCCACACCACGTACAGGTGCTGCCCGGGGTGGTCCCAGCTGGCCGGGGAGGACGGGTGTCTGCACCGTAAGTGTCGCGCTGCTCACGGCAGAGTCTTTGCTTTTGGCTGAGGGTGCTCGTTTCAACTCCTGGGCCTGCAGTAAAACTGTCTTTAAATGCCTTTAAAGAGAACTGGTGGGGTTTTTTTGTTTTGTCTTTTTTTTTTTTATCCTTTTTTAAAAATTATTAATATTGTTATTACCATTATTTTTATTTCCTTTACCTGAGCATCAGAAGGATTCTGCTCTGGCTTCCCGGGAAGCGCCGTGTCTTGCTTTCTGGTTTTGGAGAATTTCCACGTTGCAGCGTGAAAGGGTTTCAGGGTCCCAGTCGTTTATCCACTTGCCAAATGCTACTAAATGTTTAAAATCAAGCCCAAACTGGTGTTTCAAACTGGCAGAAACTCTGGAAGCTCCTGTGGGAAGGTGTGTGTGTGTTGGGGGCTGGGTCTGTTGTTTTAAGACTGACTGAGTTTGAGCTGCCCCTGTGAGAAGTTTGGGATCTCTGCATCCACCCCATACCTGCTTCCTCCCATATCCAAAGGGCAATCCTGGGGTCAGGACGGTGAGATCCAGCAAGAGATGTTGCAGGATCAGCCTCAGGGGAGAGAGCACACAGCCATGGGGGGGTGGCACTTGTCAGGTCTGGAGTGGAGACCCAGAACTTGAGACTTTGGGATCCTGTGGCTGGATTCCTGCTCTCTTCTAGTGCAGTTCTCTGCCAAACAGGCATGGAAGTGTCTCCATCCCAGCTGTGTGGGAAGCTGTGATATGTATTCAGGTTTGCACATGAGTCAGGCTGGGGATGTGCAAATATTAGTCTATAAGATGATTTTATGCTGTTGTTGCAGGAGACAGAGGCAGTTTTGTCCCCGTGGGTCCCACATTCCCCATTCCCCTCCAGACTTCCCTGCCTGACACGGGAGGCAGCTGCTCTGCTGCTCCCAGACCCTGGGGCCACATCCAGCTGGGGAACCATTTATCTGCAAACTGTGCTTTCGAGATGTGGAGAGCAAAGAAAACCCTTCCCTTGAGTCGAGCAAAGGTTTGTCTGAGCTTATGTGTAGAACCAAATGTCACCCCCCTGCAGAGCCACACAAGCTCCCGGTGCTGTGGGATGAGTTCTCTGCCTTGGTGCCTAATTCTTTCCTGATTTAGACTTTGGAGGTGCTCTCTACCCCCCCTACAGAAGGGCAACTTTAGATGTAAGTGATAGGCTGGAGAACCAGCAAAGCATTTGGGATCTGACCTGCACTGCCATCAGGGGAATGAGAGCCAGCCATGGGCAGCTCCACTGTGAGGGCAGTTGGGATTGGGATTGACCTCCAATACAGGAAAATGTCTCCCACAGCTGGTTGCCTTTTGTTCTGTGCAGAGGCCATCTGTACCTTCCCTGTGCTTTGATGCTTGAACCAAAGGTTTACAAAAAAAGGGAAAAAAAGGTGTGTCAAGCAACCAGTCTTTATTCTTCCTATTCCAAAGCCTGGAGCAAAGGAGAGCAGTGCACTGGGCAGAGGAAGCTCCAGGGGTGCCTTATAACTCCCTGTCAGTGAGCAGATAATAACCTCAGCTGAACTCAGAAAAGCACCTTCTGTAATGATTTTTCCTGCCAAGGAAGTGAGTAATTCCATGCAGGAAGGAAGCAGAGAAAAGGAAATAAAGCTGCTCAGGGCATGCTCTGAGCTCATCCTTCTCATCATTTGGGCTGGGAATGGTTCTCCTGGGCTGGGCTGCAGTAAAGAGGAAAGGGACAGTCAGCCCCAAAGGCAGAGTGGCACCAGCTCAAAAGGTTCTGCAGGAATGGCTGCTGAGCTGCTGGGGGCTTGGAGTGGATCGTGAGCTGTGAGCTCTGTCTCTGTTCAGCCCTGGTCGGATCACTGACTCCACAACCAGGATGTGCTGTAACCTCCTTTCTGGGACAGAAAAATGAGTATCTCGAGTGCTGCAGGCCCTCAGCACAGGCAGGGGCACTTCCAGGGGTTGTTTGAGGCAGAAACTCCAGTGACATTGCTCTGTGAATCATCCTGTAACCCCCTGAGAGCAGCAGGGGGGCTGGGTAGCCTGGTTAGGGGCTGAGAGGGGCAGTGGGGTTTGTGCTTCCTGATCCAGACCCCCGTAAGCAGCAGCTGGAGGAGCATTCCATGGGCAAACCAGGACAGCTCTGCCTGGCCCTGGTGGGGTGGCTGGTGCCCCAAGCTGGGGTTTCTGTCCTGACCCACAGACTGTCCTGGGAAACATGTCTGGGCTCTGTGTAACTAAACCCCTGTCCCAGGGAGCTCCTGGCTCTTGGTTTGCAGGGATGTGATGACTTTTCCTGCTGGTGTCTCTGACCTCGGCACAAGCATGTTCTCCTGGAGCAGGGGAGGGTGTGGGAAGGTCTGTCAGGGGACTGTCAGTAAATATTGGTGAGGTGCTGAGGCAGGGGCACAGGGCCAGGGCGCTCTGTACGACACAGGATTTTCTGGTTTGTTTGCCTGGAGTCAGCCTGCACTTGCTGCTGTGACTCTGCTGAATGCCACAAAGCTATTGTGCCAAAACATGTCAGTGGGATTTGTGGCCCTTCCTATCTGCCTCCAGAGATCACTGGTCGTGTTCCAGGAGTGCTGAGGAGGGGAAGGGCATCACTGCTGACAGTTTAATTAGAGCTGTTGCCACCATGCAGTGGAACCTTTCCAGTGAGGACATCTTATCTTGCCCTTCAGCATCTCCTCACTGCAGGGCTCTCTTTGCTCCAAATGCTGGGCTGGTCACCACCTTTCCTTAAAAATGAAAAAACCCAACCCATGCGAGGGAAAATTTTCAGCACTGCAGGCTCATGTGCAACATGACAGTGTCTGACACTGAGGGGGATGTTAAATAGCTTTGTGAGATGGGAATCCCAGCACCCTCGTGGGTACCAGCTCAGGTGAGTTGTTTGGGCTCTCAGAGCTACCCCAGTGCCTGGAAGAAGGGAGCAAACACTGGGTGTACTCAGCTTAGGTTGGAGGCTGTAGCAAAACCAGGGTGTCTTTCTCTTCCTCACATGCAGGTTTAAGTCTCTAAGCACTTACAGGTCAGGCAGTGGCCAGTGTGGAGCTGTGAGGGCAGTACTGGGGGTGTGTGGGCTCTACTGGGAGCAGATGGCTTGGAAAGAGATGGAAAAATTCACAGAAACAAATCTCACAAAGGCCCCCAGTCTGGCTGAATTCTGTGTTTTGTCCTGTCTCTTCTGCTGGTAGCAGAAGGGTGAGGGCTTGTTGCCTCCCACTGCCCTCTGTCCTGGAGCATTCATCTGTTTGGGAAGGAGAAAGGTCAGAAGTCAAGGCACCCTTTGCATTTTTAGGATGGCATCAGGTTCTTTCCCTGCCTGATTGCTGATAGTTTACCTTTCAGACTAAGCTGCTTGGTTTCAAGTGGCCTCTGAGATGCTACTTAAATTCCACCTGGGTTCAATAAGGCAGGTAAAGCTCTCGGTGATTAGGACGAGGGGCCTGTGTGTCTGGTAATCCCTGTGATCTCCACTTTCAGCTCAAGATGTTGAGAAGAGTCCCCGTGAGTCTGTAACTGCTGATGTGTGTGGAGGAGCTGGAGTTCAGCCCCAGGCAGTGCCTGAGCTCTGGGCCAGCCCCTGCCACCTCCAGAGGGGACCCGGAGAGGCAGGAGGGCTCCCGGGAGAGCTGGGCAGGGGCTGAAGAGGAGACCACTGTGGATTTAGTGGAGGTGACCTGGCCACGGTTGCAGTGTGGTCTGTGAGCTGTGCAGGAGGGGCAGGGCTCTGCCCTGACCACGCACTCCTGCAGGGAACAGGGGCTGCTGCTCGGGCTGGGAGTGCAGCTGGGAATGCTGGGACTGAACTTGTGAACCCCTCGCCCCCATCCAGCCCAGCCTTGGTTCAAGGTCCCCCGTGTGCTCCCCTGGGGAACTCACCAGCCCATCTCTGCCCACGGGGGGTTGTACCTCGGGGAGTCCAGGCACTGCAGGTATGCAGAAATGCTTTTCTCCTTCACTTCTCCTTTTAAATCAGTCTAATGTCTCCGACTTCCCAAGAATCCCGCCTCACTAAATCCTTGCTAGGGACATTCCCTGGCCTTTGAGCAGAAGGCAGTGGTGCTTTCTGTAATTTATCCTTTCTTTCCCGTTTCCCTGAACAGTGTCGTTGCCCTTTTCCCAAATTTCATTGCATTAAACTCTGTAGCTCTGAATCAGGAGCTCATTTGCAGGAGGCCTGGGGGGCACAGAGGGGGAGAGCCACAGCCCCCCCCCGGGCTGGGAAGTAGGTTATTATGATTTCCACTCGGTATGTGCCAGCCTGAAGCACAGAGCAGGGGATTGTCCGGCTCATTCAGGAAATCTGGGGCACTGCCAAGAATAACACCCCTGTCTTCTAACCCCTGATTTGTGTCGCTGAAACTGCTTCTAATATTTTCCATTGTTGTGCTTCGGGTCTCGCTGAGCTGCTGGCGAGTCGTGCACTCTGGATCCAGGCTGGGCTTTGCTGGGACCCCCTCAAAAGTCTCTTTTTTAGGTGATTAAGGTGAAGAATCTGGGGAGAAAAAAAAACAAACCCGCTCTGCAATTTAACCACACAGTTCATTCTGTCTTATGGTGATGAGGCCTGAAGGAAAGGACTGAAAGAGAAGACAAGTCCTTCTGCCGTGACTAGAGCTGGGAAAACCTGGAGGCTGCAGCCCCAGAACACCTCAGCACACAGCTGGAGATGGGAAGTTGTTCCTGCCCCGCCGTGCAGGGAAGTGTTGGCAGTGCAGGTGTCACAGCTCGGCTGAGCAGGACGCTTGGCAGAGAGTTCCCAAGTTCCAGAGCTCTGCCAGCACGGGACTGACACGGGATCACTGCAGTCCCCAGGGAGACGTGGCCATGAAAAGCGTTAGATGAGAAGATAACTGGCTTTGTGAAGCAGTGTTTCATCACCGATTCATTATTTCAGGGAGATGAGTGTTTGGGCTTCAATGCTACCTTTGTGTTATAAATAATCTTCTCTTTTGCAGGGGGGATTTGAAAAATTATCAGGTCCTTAAAAGAGCCAAGGCT